CGTTAGAGTTATCATACGTTTGGAAACCCAGCGCGATGCAGCCTCGCCCGCTACAACACATATCGTCGGACAGCACCTTTATAATAAGAAATTACTGTATCATAAAATGACTATAATATAAGTAAATCAAAGACTATATGAAGGCTACATTCATCATCATCCTTCCCCATGGATGAAATAGGGAGACTGGGCCCCTGACTCGTTACGGATGCCCAGTGCTGACCTGACCCACCACGTATGCCCAGTGCTAATTGTTGGGTGCTAGCGACTGCAAGAACAGGTATCAGCGACTTAAAGTGCCTAACGAAGCACATGGGAGCTCGAGATAATGAATATTTGGTCACCCATCCTACAACCGGCCATTGCGAAAGTGGCGTAACTTCTACGATCGTAGACCGAACGTGCTAACAACTGCTCTATCGAGCTCCTCAAGACCATGCTATTACGTACAGTACACTACAGTTTTATAGAAGACATCAATACCCACGAAAAAGTCTACGATACCATTATGTCTAACTACTTTTTCATTTTTTTTTCATGCAATAGCAAACGCTGCGCCTACACAAACTAGGCCTTTCTATACAAATAGATCACGTAGTATTCAAGATTGAGGAGCTCGATGCCGCAGGTGGATAGCGCGTTCGGCCTGCGATCGTGAAAGTTAAGCAACTTTTGCAATGGTCGATCATTGGATCGGTGACCAAAACTTATTATTTCAAGCTCAAGCTCCTCCCTGCATTGGAAGGCACGTTAAGCCGTTGGTTTCGACTGCATCTGCAATCGTTAGCACCCACCAATCCGCTCTGGGCCCACGTGGTGGTTCATACATAGTCCAATTTTATCCAAATCCAATTAATAGGCTGGTGATGATTCAAGACTATATAATGTGTTCAAAACGTAAGTTAATTAATAAGGACATAGTCCCGATGGTAAATGGTATCAGATCAAACTATTTTTAACAGCACTACAATGGTTCAGTCGGTATGGGTTCTAATACAAAATGTTCACTATTAGTTAGACCTTTTTTCAAGAAAGATTTAAATAATATTGCTAGCAATATTCTATAAATATAATATATCTAGTAAATAGATTTTATTTATTTCGAGAGTAACCCTTAAATAAGGTCGCCCGATAACAAATAAACATTATCATTATAATAATTTAATTCACAAATTGGCATTAAGTTTATCTTTGTTGTTGTTAGCAACAATGTAAAATAAAGTAGGACGTGTAGAAATTGGCGCACAATATTTTAACTCATTTACTTAACCGTATTAGCAAAATTATCGTGAACGGTAATTATTTTGTCAAAGAATCCCACTCACACTTGTCGGTTTTAAAGAAATGCGATCTGCAAATTATACTTATAAAGACACCAGATGCCAGTTCAATAAACTCGACCATTTCTTTCTTTGACATCTAAAGAGATAAATAACTGGATAAGTTAAATTGAAATAATTTACAAAGATATGAAATAAAATCTTTAAAATGCTACCCAAACATTAGGTAAATAGCAATTCAGATTTATAAACATACATGGCACCGACGCCAAAGATGCATTTGACATATCCACGTTACACATAAGTAAAGAATATGTATTATTTCTTACTTTTAATGGTTTTGTTTTCATAAAGTCTGTTTTACTTTTAATTTACATCTTTCATAAATCAAATTTTGATGTAACTATGGTTTATAAAAAGTGGAAATTGTTATTGTAAATTGTAAACTAAGTATTGGCCTCACCAGCCTGCGTAACATGAGCACCGCGAAATGATAAATAGATCGTTTTTATCACGCTTAATTTTCAAAATACTATGGAGTTTGACAGTGAGGCGCGATAAGAAACCGTGATATAATGTAAATTGTGATGCTCATGCTACAGGGACTTGCCAACATAATTTCTTTCACATCTCTTATAACAAAACACGAATTGAGTACTGTTAGTAGTTGAGGATTTTCATTGTTTTCTCAGAACTCATCATATCTTCACCAAATTAGTATGAGACCAACCCGCCAAAAACTGATCCATACAAAAAAAAAACATCATTTCGATGTTTTTTTGCCCACGGTCCACGCATCTCGGCGACACGCGAACTAAATTAAAAATAAACAAATATACTGGAGAACTGAGAACCTCTTTTTCCGAATAACATCTAGGAGATTTAATTCTTTGTCACGGTCCCTTCCTAAATTGCCTTATACATTTAACAGTTACACCCTGCAACAGATGTGAAAATATTTGATTTTTCTTACCTCCTCTCTACATAATAAGGGAAACTCAAACTTTCTTCGTTTTCATTGTTTACGATATGATAAACAATTTTTATTTCTTATTTTTTTTTATTTATTGCACAAAACAGAGTTTCACCTAGCAATATGGTATAAGACACCAAGAAAAACAATTCATAATGATATACTTAACTCCACTAGCATGTGAAAACAGCATGCTTATACAAGTGTATAAAACAGCGCCCATACTATTAAGAATTAAATTTAATAAAATACATTATCAAAAAAAATATTAATAACAATTTAAATGAGATTAATACATACACAATTTATAAACCAAATGAGAAAGAGAAAATTAAATGAAATAGGCGTCATTTAATTAAAATAAAATAAAAACTGAATTTAATAAAAACTGTTAAAAAAATATAAAAGAATATATGTATGATATTGTGGCGGCGACATCTATATGCCCCACATATATACAACAAAAATGGAGGAAATCATTACTCACCATCCTCAAGAGATGGCGTTACCTACACTGCGATCATAATAGTATGGAAGCCTACATCGCGCAAATGAAATTCGGAGGCTAACTCTTCATATATGCGATGCCCGACCAACATCAGTCGGGCCGCGGCCCCCGAGCTAACATCACCCAGCTCGGAGGAAGATCTTCCCCGAGGAAGATTCCAAATAAATTTGGAATTGACGTGCTCTATGGCGGAAGTGGTTAGCACGTTCAGCTGCGTTTGCAGTGGTCGCTCATTGGATAGATGACCAAAATTTTACTATCTCTACTCCTCCGTGCTTCGGAAGGCATGTAAAGCAGTTGGTCCCGGCTGCATCTGAGATCGTTAGCACCAGCCATTCCACATTGGGCTCTCGTGGTGGGTCATGGCCCAATCTCCCAAATCCATCCATAAGGAAGGCCTGTGCCCGAGCAGTGGGGAAATCAATAGATGACGATTATCATAAGAAATTCCTGGCAATTTACAGCAGTTATTTAGTCATAAGTTTACGCTCGAATTGGAGCGCTCATCTGGGGAAGTAACCTCCATATTACAGAAGATCACAGTAAAATGACACTACCTTTTTGTGGTGTTGTGTTTCTGTCGGTGAGTAAGGTTCCAGGGCTCCACGGGGTAGGGGATTAGTTCAGGGTAGGCAACGGTGTGAGTGATATTTTTGGTATCGCAAGCGTCTATAAACTATGGTGGCCGCTTACCACCAGGCAAGTCATACGCTTGTTTGCCACCCTTTTAACATAAAAAAGCCAGGTGCTAAAATCCGTGCGGTAAATCCGCTGTATATGATGGGTATATTAATTATATCAGTGCGAAGCTACTCGTAGGATAGTCTTATCGGCAGTTATTTAATTAATTCGATTTAAACTCAGATCAAATGCAACAAAATGAATAAATAGTGCTTTTCCATTAATAAAAGTCCACTGTCCATTATCATTACTATGATAATTTCTCTCTCATATTCTAAATTATAGCTCAATTTAATAATAGGTACTTTTATATCTACGAGTATATCATGTTTCAACTTTGTGTCACGCAGGAAACATCAACAAATAAGCATTATTCAACTTATCTAAATTGCTGACATGTCAATAGTGACCGTATTATTTTATGCGATAAATTAAAGTCTCTATAGAGGATGTTTATTAAGTGATCAATAAACATTAATGAGAGAGACAAAAGAAAATGTTATCAAAACTTTAGTAGCAGTAATTTTGGTGCGCTTCGGTACGCCTAAAATAAAATTTTACTAGTTTTTTTTTTACTTAAATATTTAGCTGTTAATTGTAGCATCGTAAAAAAAACACCAAATAAGACAGAAAAATTAATAGTTTAATTAACTAAAAATACGCTTTTATTACTACTTAGCACTAAAAAGCCAAAAATGAACAAAATGAGGAGCTGTTGGAAAAACGGTATAATTCCATAAAATTAAATACAGGAGCTGTATAAAACTGAATGACATACCTACAGCGAGCTTTTGGCGTGGTTTTTAATTTATAAATTTAGTTATTTTAACACTGTTTTAGTCGGTCGTGATTGAAAATTATTTGAGATTTTAATTCAACGGGCCAGCTGCGTAATTATACCGTTTTTTTGGCCAGCTCTTCAAATATTCTCTTTGGTTAGTTCATTGGGGCCTTAGAGTAAGCCACGTTTATAGTTTATTTTGACATATATATATATATATAAAGCGTGGGGCGCTTCATTATTAAATTTTAACTGAATTGTTAAGCATTATGAATCACGTAATATATTATTTTATTTGATAAATATTGCAATAAATAGCGCCCAAATAAAAGCGGGTTTTTAGTTTTTGAAACTATTAATTTATTTTTCTCTTTTTACTTTATTACAAAACATAGAACAAGTTAATTGCGACTGAATACGCATCCTCTCCATCTCCGATAAGGCTTCACTATTGCAAGTCGTTTTTCCTGTTATCTTGGAACAGTCCAGGTCCTCGATCTGTAGACCACTAAGAGATTTTACTCTACTTAGAGCGACATAGGCTTGCCCAGATGCGAAAATACTATGTGATCCTAAATAGATTTCGGCGTAATCCAACGTGCAACCTTGCATCTTGTGGACTGTCGATGCGCAGCTTTGAATAACTGGAAGCATACGCCTCTTACTGTTTCAGTGAAACATCAAATTCATAAAACAAAATTTTTTTGAAAATTAAACACGCTGTGTATATACACTGTTCTTCCCCGGCGATTAAAAATTTTGTACATTTACGCGTAGTATAAAATAACTTTTCGGGTCAAACCTCTTCTTAGTTCAGTTTCGTCCTCAAAGTAAGACTGAGTGGTCATGTTTTATCAACTGTGTTACTTTTTGTTCGGTAAGTCACCTATCACTGCTCATTATTTATTATAAACAGTTTTTAAGGTAGATACGGTGCCTCGAATGCTTTAATCAATTCAGGCATCTATCAGTGTAGCGATCCCGCCATTTTGACGGTAATGTGAAGTAAATAATACCTATTTATTCGGTGTTTCATCCATCATACAAATATTAACAGAAACATCATCAGAATCATCATCATCAGCCTATTAATGTCCCCACTGTTGGGACACGGGCCTTCCCTATGGATGAAATAGGGAGACTGGGCTGTGACCCACCACGTGGGCCCAGTGTGGATTGGTGGGTGCTAACGACTGCAGATGCAGCCAGGACTAACGGCTTATTCCTTCCGAAGCACGGAAAAGCTCGAGATAGTACATTTTGGGTCACCCATCCACTAACCGACCACTGCCAAAGTTGCTTAACTTCAACGATCGCAGCCGAACGCAGTAATCATTTGCTCCTCTACAACAGACACATAATTATTCACGAACAGCCGAAAGGGCTGTCCAGCTCAGCTTGTGGTGCAGCATAAGCCACGACACTGATCTAAAGAATTTGTTTCGATGGAGCTGTCATGTCATCGGACAAAAGCTCCTAAACAAAAAATATAGTAAAAAAAATAAAAATTTAAAGAAAATTTTATCAGAAAAAAAAACACGCGGTTCAGGCCGCAGACGGGACACGAACCCGTACACTCCGCTATCCGGGCGGATGCACTGTCCATTATGCTACCGCGGACCTAGTGGCCATATCAAATTCGTTCTAGTATTTCTTACGCTGCCAGGCAGCGCCCTCAAACAACTCTAATTTTTAATTGAACCCGCGTGATGAGTAAACTAAATACATTGGGTTTTGATGTTAATGACAATAACCAATTGATAAATACATCATTGCTAATAAAGACAGTTCTTAGAGGGTAAATCAGTACGTTTTAGAACTCAGACATTACGAACAATAATTTTATTATGTGTTGTTCATATTGCAGGCAGTAGTCAAATAGCAATAACGCCGCCATACTAAAAAAAACTGGCCAAGTGCGTGTTGTACCACGTGCAGTGTACACTACAAAATGTTTTGGAAAGAGTCTACATTTTAAGCAATTACCTACTCTAAGTCACTTTAAATTTTTCTTAAAAGGATTTTTTATAAGGTCCGAAATTTTCTAATAAATAAGTTCAACGACTATTACTCTTAAATTAACTAATCTATTTAAACCATTATAATATCCCTAAAAAGTACGTGAAAAGCACTATTATCATGAATTTTCTCAAGTTTTTCAAGCTAATAGTTTAGCTTTTAGAGGGGCGGCTTTTACGCCCTGCACGTACTAAAATTAGCACTTTAAAGTTCAATATTTCGCAAACTCCCTAAATCGAAAATTTATCTTAAACACCGCTAAGTAATTTTAAAGGAGCTATTCAACGATACCCCACACGATGGGGTAGACGATGAAAAAATTAAATCATCTCCAGGTATGTAGGGGAGCTACCCTTAAAAAAAATTTGCAAAATTGTATTCTACCATTTTGTCGGCGTGATCGATATACATATCTCCACCACATTACAGCTCTCTAGTGCTAATATTTTCTAAGCAAAACCAGACAGACAGACAGACGGACATGACGAAACTATAAGGGTTCCTTGGCAGGACTACGGATCCGTAAAAAACCGGCTATGTGCGAGCCAATTTCGTCGTACGAAAAACGGCAAAAAATCTTTTCTGTCGTATGTGAGCCTCCCTTAAATATTTATTTTATTTTATTTTTATTAATTAGTAACGGCCGCCCGCGACATCGTAGATACACGAGGAGTTAGTTAGAAATAAAGGTTCACTGCTCGTTCCTCGTAGGTGATAGCGTGATTATATGTAGCATATATGTTGACCCGACTTCTTAATAATATTCGTGCCAAATTTGAAGTAAATCCATGCAGTACTTTTTGACTTTTTCCCGGACATACAGATAAACAGACAAAAATTCTAAAAACTGTATTTTTGGCTTCGGTATCGAATGTTGATCACACCCCAAGTATTCTTTTAAACAAATATTCAATGTACAGTTTTGACTTTTTTACCATTTTATTATATTATGATTAGATTTTTAAAGTGAATATACAAATAATTCATATTCTGTAAATATTTAAAGTGTCTACCTGCTGCCGTTATTAATATAGAACAAATAACGACAAAAAAACACGTTTGTTGTATGAGAGCTTCCCTTAAATATGTACTTTATTCTATTTTTTGTTATAGCGGCAACAGAAACACATCATCTGTGAAAATTTTAATTGTGGTTTATAAGATACAGCCTGGTGACAGATAGGCGGACAGACAGACGTAATAGGATATACCTAGGGTTTACCCTTTTGGGTACGAAACTCTTAAAAAAGGCACATCTATCATTTTGTAAATTATGAGAAAATCAACATCAAAATTTATTTCAGTTTTAAAGGAAAAAAAAATATACGCGTTCAATTGAAAAATATATAATATTTTATTTTTCAGATATTTAACAGCATATGAACGAAAATAGTAGTATTACCTAATTGGTGTGAGTGTTGGAAATATTTATTTATATACACCACTTCTATAAGACTATTGAAATATTAATAGATATTATGTTATTGTAATTTATATATAAATAAAAAACGTCAAAAATAGCCAGACGTCACTTATAATTCTAACATTTATTGTTAAAAATATGAAATACCTATAAACCAAAAGACACATTTTTACAATTAATTTTCCCTTTGTATTTTAATGTAAACAAGTAAAAAGTGATTATAATATTTTGTCCGATTAGTTTAAAAAATCATCCCAATTATTATTAATTCACCTGGAATAATCTGCATATACACATACAGGCATAACCTTTAATATAAAAATATACCAAATAATCGCCATAAGCCAAACTGTAAAATTGTGATTTTTAGGGTTCCGTAGTCCTGACAAGGAATCCTTCAAGTTTCTTCATGTCTGTTGGTCTGTCCGTCCCTGGTTTTGCTTGGAAACTGCTAGCATTAGAGAGCTCTAATTTTGCGGAGATATGTATATCAATCACACCAACATATTGGTAGAAAAGAATCAGGAAAAATATAGTAGCTTTTTTAGGGTAGCTTCCCTATATGTATATAACCTAGGGATGTTTTTTTATCGCCTACCCCATCATGTGGGGTGTCATTGCATTGAATAGGTCTTTTAAATTAGTTAGGGGCCTTTAAGACTATTTTTCGATTTTGGGATCCGTTTGCAAAATATTGGTCATTAAATATAAAAGCTACAGCGAGTGTATCAACGGCAACGGCTTGTGAATCGCGCTATCGTTACGTTTTTATAAAGCACTTGAAAAGATCGGCGGTTGTCATTCGTTTTAAAAAAATATATAATATCGAATTTATTTAAGTTTGAGATGCAGTTTGACTATGTTTATGGTTATGTATTTTAGTAATTGAGATACATAGTTTGATATATTTTTTAATTTTATTATGCAATTATTTTCTTTCCAGGCCTGGCAGTCGTATCGGCTCGCCGAGTCAACTTTTATCGAAAGGACTACGTATATTTCGAGGACTATGATGCGTTTTACAAGCTACATGGAGTAAACCTCAGTACTTGGAACTTGTCGTTTTTGACTTGTGATGACGAAGGTCAGTATAATCCATTGCTCCTACCAATCTTTATTCTAATAATAATAAGAATGAGTAAGATAGTATTTTCGTACCTTTGTTTATTGCTCAGTCAAACAAAAACGGCTGAGCGAATTTGAATAAATTTTGACACACGCATAGTTTATTACCTGGAGACATAGCATACTTCGTATATCGAAAAAAAATATGGTTCTTGTAAGATTCTAAAAACATTAACTAAAAGGCGGACGAAGTCCCAGACGGAAGCTAGTATCATTAAAGATTTTGAATATGTTGGTTAAGTTTTTCACAGGCAAATGTTTGTTCAGTAACAATATTTATTTTTAATCATTAAACTGTTATATTTATAAATCTACACAAACTTTTACTAGAACCTGCGCCTGCGACTTCCGTTATCTCATGTTTGTTGCTCAACTACCGAATGGTTTATTTTATTTCTTGAAATTTTGTTTATTTCAGTTTTCGGAGTAGCTAATCTCACAAAACCATTATTTCACAAATAAATATACTAAAATATCTATTACAATAAAAAACTAAACTGTAACTCAATTGTCGCCATAATGAGATCGAGTAATTATGGGCTTATATTGACTTTACAATTTTACCAATCAATAAAAAACAAAATAGTACATCAAACTTTAAAACGTCTCTTCTAAATTCGTTTTATATAAACCTGAACCTGAAAAAATTAAGTAACTATGAGGTTTGTGATTTAAATACAAATAATGTTTTGACTTAAACAAACGTTTAATTTCCCACTGTTCTGATTGGTGACTGTTAACAACTGAAAATGCTGCCATACACACACAGCATAGCGTGCCTTCTAAAGCACGGAGGTACACTAGACAGTACATCATTCATCCAATGACCAGCCACTACGAAATTAACTTAACTTCCACAATAAAATACTTTGATGCGTGGAACATTTATCCATCGCATTTTGTTATATAAATTAGCCGTCGCTTGTATTTCAAATTGCCAATATTTCGTTCTTTGCCCGTTGTCTTGCTGAGTATTCGTTTAGGGCCTGCGCTGCGTTAAGCGGAAGCACAGAGCAGACTTAAGTAGTACCATGGGTATTTATTTTGAATGATTCTGCCGGTAAATTAGCTCCCCAAGAAAATCCATTTCTATTGAATAGTCGTATCCTATAACTAACTAGCTAACAATCTTAATGTTACGACAATTCAAAAAGGAATTCCAAATGTCAATATGCTTTCGAGACAATTAAGATAAATTAATTAACGATTTGATCTCTAATTTTCGCACTTGTTTAGAAATATCTATAATATATTTTTTATGTTTGCGTTTCAGGTGCTGAATTGTTTTACCCGGCCACTGACAACGAATGGGAGGTAGCCTCCAAACTAGCGCAAGTGACGCCCATTGAAGACGAAATATTTGTAGGAATTCACGACAAATTTGTTTTAGGTGAATACGTGACCATAAATGGTAAGCAATATTAGCAAGAGAAATGAGACAACAATTGAAGATTGGTGACAAGCCTTTCCTATGGATGGAATAGGGAGATTAGACCGTGACCTACCACCCACTAATGATAGCAGATGCAGCCAGTACTAACGGCTTAACGTGCCTTCCGAAGCACAGTGTAGCTAAGGATAATAAGTTTTTGTTCAACCATCCCATGACTGACAATTACGAAAGTTGCTTAACTTTCATAATCGCAGGCCGAACGCACTAACGACCTGATCGAGGTCGTCGTAGGGTATTTTCAAGAATGGATCGAGTTTTTTCAATAATGGGTCCCGACTGTTAAAGTAGCTCTGTTCCTTATTAACAGAATTATAGACTACTGCACTTTTATTTTTCTTTTCAGTTTTTATTTGAAGTAATATTTGAGCGGTTGGGTCTTGTGAGTTTTCGAAATTTACTTTTTTTTTATTTCATACTTTAGTTTGGATTATAAGACGGTATATACCACAGTCTTATCACTTGAGTCAGGGAGTTATTACCGCAAGGATTATTAAGTACCCTGCAGTGGTCTAAACGATTGATTTATTAAGACATACAGAGACCTAACCACTAGGATCAAGGCAGATGGGCCTCAATTTTTTCAATAATTTATGAAATTAAATCAAGTCTTCAAATCCTATATAATAATCTAGTGCATGTTAATTGTATAGTTAATTAGTACTAATTCAAAAAGTAATCTTTTACTTATGTTATTTTTAGTAGTTTAAGAGTAAATTTAAAATTAATTTATTTTTATTCGTCGACTATCTAAAATTGACAGTGGCTGCATTGTTTACGTCTGGCTCTAAGATTGGGTTACACAAATGCATTGTGATATCTTAGTCTCATAATTTGTTTTACCTACATAATTCACAGAAACCAAACATGTAGATGCAAGAGGTTAACTTCAAACTTGTTAATAATCCTATATACAATACCAATCAATGACGGTAATGTCGCAGGTTGACGAAAACAATAATTCCCGTCCGTTGTTTTGGACACTGGTAGCAACTGCCTTAGATAGCTTAATTAAATAATTATACAATCACCGAAGCAAAGATTACAATATTTAATTAAATAAAATTCGTAGAATGAAATTTTCAATGCGTAAGGTATACCACCATAGCAATCTCATTTTTTTTATCAATTTATCACCCACTGTATGTATATATATTTAAGCGATAATGGCTTACACATTAAATACTCCCACAGGTTTTTTTAGATCCATTTAATAGATACATTTCCACGTTATATTACAGTCATGTAACTTTTATTGTTTTTGCAGTGCAGACCAAAATGGCTGGCAAATGGGAGATTTGTTCCGTTTTACGTCCCAACTAGCAAAGTAACCTTATAATGCAAGAGTAATAAGAATAAAATTCTTATAGATATGTTATTAAAGCATTACTTTTACCATTTTCCTTATAAACGCAAGCTATAAGTATTTTTGGATAATATGGTATATTCAACTTATTATTGAGATATATAAGTTTTTATAAAACCGATTTATATGGCTTTAAAAAACACATAGTTATATATAAGAACTTCAAAGGGTGTTTAGTCATATAATATTTTAGACATATAGTGGTTTTCGCCACATAATATTTGTTTAATTAATAAAGCTGTAATAAACTCAAAACTCAAACTCATTTATTCAGTCTAGGCTGTTACAAGCTCTTGTGAAAGTCAAACGCTACGCCATCGGTTCGTAAATCTACGGTGGGAGACCTTGTACTGAGAAGAACCGGCAAGAAACTCAGCAAGGGCTATTTCTTTCTCCCTGTTTTGTTTCAAACAGTGTCGTCAATTGAAAGATGACATCAAAAATTGAAAACATGTGTTGATGTCAACTTCCATCACATTAATATTATTAATTAACAAAAGTTAAGTATAGCTAGGTACTACATTTAACCAAATCAGCAAAGTAAAACGACTTAGTCTGTTATATTAAGCCCAAGGTGACTTATCATTAATGAAATCTTTAACAGTATAGTAACCTTTCTTAAGGAGACCTGTTTTTATAGACACTTTAAACTTATTGAAAGGTAAATTAATTATTTCTTTTGGTATTTTATTATAGTAACATATGCCTTGACCCACAAATGAACCAAGAACCTTTTGGGGTCTCAACGGTGGCAATTTGAGTTTATCTTTATTTCTGGTATTGAAATTATGAACATCATCGCGCCTCGTATATAAATTTATGTTCTGACGCACAAACAATATACAATTGTAAATGTATTGAGAGGCAACAGTCATTATACCTATTTCTTTAAATTTATCCCTTAGAGAAGTTCGAGATCCCTAGCGATAAATACACACATCAAAAGTGTCTAGGGATCAAGCATTTTTATGCGGATTTCTTGAGATTGAGATGTGGCTTTGTAATAAATTTATGATTTTATAAATTTATATGGATCCTTTTTGGTGCATTTCATAATTTGAATCAGGAACTGTGAATCAAATTCGAGTAAAAGATGAAAATCAGCTGTCAATATTTTCCCTATAAAAACATACAACGCATTGAAGACATTATTAGTGCTACTGTTTCCCTACTACTGATTAAAACCAACGTTATTATGGAGCGGCGACGTCATTTAAGCAGGGAAGAAATGCTCAGAGCCGTGGGAATGATAGAAGCTGGTTCCCGGCAACGTACTGTGGCTTTAGCTCTGAATACAAGTCAGAGTGTTATCAGTCGACTTTGGACACGATACCGAAGCACTGGTACCGTGGCTGAGCGCCATGGAAGACGGTATCGCTGCACCACACGGAGACAAGACCGATACATTCAAATCTTAACTCGAAGAGCTCCAACAATAACCGCCATGATGTTAGCCGTGAGGCTTCATCACTCTTCAGGGAACTTAATTAGCGACCAAACAGTCAGAAACCGCTTGCATGAAGTGAACCTTCATTCCCGAAGACCGCTACGGGTACCACCTATAGCAATGCACAATCGTAGGATTCGATATCAATGGGCTCTTGAACACAGAAATTGGGCAGAAGAACAATGGCGTTTCGTGTGCTTTTCTGATGAGTCTCGTTTTGGTATGAGACCGGATACAAGACGTATACGACACTGGAGAACCCCTGGACGCCAACAGCGATTAAAATCCTGCCAGGAAGTCCATCCTTATAGTGGTGGAACCATCATGGTATGGGCGGGTATTTGGATCGGCGGAAGAACTGAGTTGATTAGGATCAGAAGCAACCTCAACGCTCAAATTTATGCTGAGACGATTGTATCAGACGTCATCGTTCCTCTACAAGTGCAAATCGGTCCCTTATTTCAGTTAATGCATGATAATGCACGACCGCACACCGCAAGAGTTGTAAGACAGACTCTCGCCGCAGCTAACATCAATGTCCTGCCCTGGCCTGCTCAGTCGCCAGACTTGAACCCGATTGAGCATGCATGGGATATGCTACAGAGAAGAGCTCTGCCGAATATGGAGGGTATCCAGTCGCAAGAAGACCTTTTTTTGTTGTTGCAACGAACATGGGCGGCCATTCCACAGCGTGATTTGGATGAACTCATTTTGAGTATGCCAAACCGATGTTCTTGTGTTGTTAGTGTTCGCGGTAGAAATACGGATTATTAATTGTTTAAGTTACCCAATAAAATTTTAGAGAAAACTGTTATTTCAGTCTTTTTTTCGAACTTTTGTGTTAGTGGTTCAAATGTCAAAAATCCCTTTATTAGGAAAATGGCAAATTTCTTTATTAATGCAAAGGTGACTTGGTTTATCGTTACTGTGACAAACGAAAACACTTTATTTGATGAATCCTTAAAGAAAATTTTAATTAATATCAATCAGGAAAAAAGTTATTGCAAAAATATATGTTGATCCCTAGACACTTTTGATGTGTGTAGCTCTTATAGCGCGTTTTTGTAGAATAAAAACTGTTTCAATGTCAGCGGCCGTGCCCCACAATAGAATGCCATACGACATAATGCTGTGAAAATAGCTGAAGTATATTGTCCTAGCAGTCTCGACATCTGTAAGCCGTCTTATTTCATAGATTGCTTAAGCAGCGGAACTAAGTTTACCGGCTAGTGTTGTAATGTGAGGTGATAAAACTAACAACCTTGTATTGGCAAATAAAATAACTTGTATATAACATTTGCTAAATGGTAAATTATATATTTTTATAAGGGTTCAGTATTTTAGACTGCCTTTATATGATATTTAAAATGTTTTATTCCTATCTTGTTGTCTAGAAATAAAAGTATAATTAATGTACATGTTGTGTACTATTTTGTTTTGAATTATATTAAAACCAAGCAAAATTTAATTAAAGTAAAATGAAAAATGTATTTATTTATTCTCAATTAAACTTACATTAATTCACACTTACTCACATTACATATACTTATTTAATTTTAAAAATAATATTTTGCTTCAGATAAGGGAACCCTAAACTCGCATTCAATATGGTGGACCAAATGCCTCCTGACTTCTTTTCAATGTTATATAGAAGTAATAGAAATGCAAATCTTACTTATAAGTAGATTTATTTAAATTTACAATGTTAAAAATAAATAATTGAAAGGGCGCATTAAAAAATGACTAAAACTTACCTATGTTTACTATGTATAATCTTTCCCAGGTAGGTTTTTGTATAAAACTCCAAAAGACAGTAAAAATTTTCGCCATTAATCACATACACTTATTTAATTGCTTAAAAACTTTTAATTAAAACTTGTAACTTGTGTGAAGAAGTAAACTTGTAGTATTTTTAGTTTTGTTTCTATAAATACCAAAATCTTATTGTAGAATTTCGAAACCTACTTTTAAGAGTGATTTATAATAGCAAGTTCATCGCGCATAATAAGGGTAATTGGACATATAGAATGCATGTTCCTTGCTAGTATATGTCTAATTAGCATCGTGAATGCTATTTTATAGTAATTATAAGTAGGAATGACACATAAAATGGCAACTTTAAAACAACTATAAGGATGTCCCCCTTATAATTTGTGCCAAAACACGGTCATATAAGCCGTGATATGTCTTCTACAAGGGCATTAATTTTAGCTTTATCGACCTTTAAATGACCAGTTTTTGCTAGTTGGGGTGACACTTATTCTCGTATTTTAGCCAATTCACTAAATAGCTACGTATAATATTTTGTATATGGTATTATTATGTACAAGCTAAGTAATTGTTAAGTTTCATTGAAATCGATTCAGTAGTTTTTGGAGAAAAGAGTAACAAAAATTCTAAACAGTCACAAAAAAAAATATGTTAGAAACCTAAACATGATGTGCAATTAACTAGACAATAATACTCCGCTTGAAATATTTCGTTAAGTTATTTTCTTTCTTTCTGGCGCCTTATTGTCCCCATATAAAATTTGGATTTATATAATATCTTTAGTCCATTTGTCCCATTCGGTGTAGAGACCCTTGGTCCGTTGGGTCCTAGCGCTATAAGGCTTTTTGAGGAAATAGCAAAAAGGTTAGTCGACATCACAGGAAACCGAAGAGCTGGCAGCTACCTCGGACAAAGAATTAGTCTAGCTATTCAAAGGGGGAACGCTGCCAGTATCTTCGGAACCTTACCTAAAGGGACGCCTTTTAATAATGTATTTTAGTTATTATATTTTATTTTTAAGGTTTTTTGAAGTTATACTTCTTTAGGCGCGTTATGAAAAAATGATGAGAGTGAAATTTTAATATGCGCGCGCATCACTTTAACACAAAATTTTAACAGCATGAAGTTGGTCGCTTTAGCGACCCACTTCATGCTGTTACTTTTGTGTTTACCACACATTAAGAAAATCTACAAACAAAATAGAAATAGAATCTCTATTTAGTGGATGCTAACGACTGCATTGTGAAGGCCTATCAAAAGTTTTTATTAATCTGAAACAACGGAACCAAAGCGCGATTCAGGAGACTACAGCGCCATCTCTTGACCATTGGTGTAGTAGAACCAAAAACCACATCTTTATTTTTTGTAATAAAGTAACAGTTATAGGTATTCATATTTATAATATTTATCCACATGTTTCTAGTTTGTATATTCGGAATACGTGTTTGAGTTTTATACAAGTGCAAATCACATATGTTCTAATAAATTATATTCAGTAGCGATTTTAATTGAATATTTTGATTATTTATTTATTTTTTCAAATTAAAACTGAACTTTATTGACTGTGTCCTTTTCCAGACTTTTTATTAATTTATTGTAATTAATTATTTGCATGCAATTAAAAACTAATTTTAAAGGATGCCAAAGAAGGATAACTTCTCACGCGCCTACATAAGTACACGCACCCATTTTTTGTTTTAGGTTCATTGTTCTGGTATATATATATATATATATGCTTTTTTGTTTTAATAGTATATTTACATCAAGCAGTAACATGATTAAAAAATTAAAATTATAACTAATAGTATATTTGTTAATTATAATATCTTTACTAGCAATCCCATGATTAAGACTAATCGATTGACGTATGAATCATCAAAATCGGTCCACACGTTTGGTCTCTAGTGTGCCACAAAGGAACTTACATAAATATATTATTATAGTCTGTTAAACCACTGTTAAACACTATACCCGGTCTGCGCGACGCGCTTCGCGCCCTTGCATTGCGCAGTCGGATAAAAAGTAAGAGGCACAAACATTCAAACATTAATAAACCTTACAAGAATATTGGTTAATCAGGACCCTGCCTCAGCATACTTATGATAAAATTGATATGTACTATATATGTCGCATACAATAAATAATATGAATATGCACAATTGTTTTTCAGGTCGTCCAACCAATGTTACTATAGAAAACACAGACAATATTTTGCAAGAACCGCATTGCGTCGCCATGAATATACGAACTGGCGCTTATCGAGTTATAGAATGCGATGATTCCGGTCCTTCTAGAACGACTGAGGTTCTACCATTCATCTGCAAAAAAGTTGAGGAGGTCACCTGTCCTACTATAGATAAAGGTAACAATAAATTTTAATATAAAACACGAAAATAGTTTTAAAAATCTTTGACTGATTTACCGTTAAAGACTTTGAATCCAACCGATATTCCCAAAATTGTAGTGGTATTCTATAAAAATTATACTCACTTGTCGGGCGGTGTAATTTAAAATTAGAACACTAATTTCACACCGGCGAATTACGTGTTGAAAAGTAAGTTTGTTGTTACAGCATAGCTTGCCATTTATCTGGTATCATTTGAAAGGCAATAGTGCGAACATGGTACTTGACCATTAATCTATTTTACTGAACTTGTTTTCGACATAGTTCTGGTTTTGGCGGAGAAGTCGTTTCTGTTAATCTTTATATTTTTCTTTTTTAAGAAAAAAAGAAAAATCGGAACCCTTATATGATCACTTTGTTTTCCGTCTGTCCTTCTGTCTGTGTATCTGTCCGTCTATCAAGACCCTGTATTTCTGGAATGCGTATAGGTATCAAGTTCACATTTAAATCATATATTATCTCAATTCACTACAGACCTTCTAAGGACCTGACGCATTGTAATCCGATACTTATAGTCCTTCAAAAACTTTTCATGGTAGCAGTCCCGCCAATAATTTTATTTGATGATTAATGACGACGACCTCCTTGGCCGAGTGGTTTGAACGCCGGGTTTCATGGTGCCGCCGACTCGAGAGGTCCCGGGTTCGAATCCTGGTGGGGGCAGATGTTTGTGTGATGAATACGAGCATTTATTGAACTCCAGTCATGGATGTTTAATATGTATTTCTATATAAATATACTTATATATGTACTACAGTATATGTATTCTATCCGTTACCCTAGTATTCCATAACAACACAAGCCTTATAGTGCTTAGCTTGGGGCTAGGCTAATTGGTGTGAGTGTTGGAAATATTCATTTTTATTTGTTAACGTTTTTTTCTAAAAGTTGCCCTGTTTGTTGACAGATTTTTTTGCTCGGGAATGTTAGCAGCTTGCGTATCTGATGTTAATCTTTTGTTCTTAGCCCATCATGAAAGACTTATATTAATTAGATCATACTTAATAACCTTATATGTATAAGCATGTGATCTATTCACAAAAAATAAAAAAAATATAAATTGTTTTACTTCACAATGTGTAATCAAAGAATAGCCATCATATTAATAGATACGATTAAACGACCTCCGTGGCCGAATGGTATGTACAAGTGCAGTGGGGGCAGATGTTTGTTTGATGAATACGAGCATTTGTACTTCAGTCATATATGTTTAATATGTATTTCTATATAAATATAGTTATATATGTATGGGTGTATGTATTCTATCAGTTACCCTAGTATCCTATAACACAAGCCTACAGTACTTACTTTGGGACTAGGCTACTTAGTGTGTGTGTAGGAAATATTTATGAATATATACGTATATGTTTATAACGCCGCATATGTTTATAGGTATGACTACCGAACGAGAGCAGGAAATCAGAATTTCTTATTAAGTACTTAAACATAGAAATGTCTCATTACAGGCTACAAATACGTCAAAGAAACAAGAAAGTGTTATAAAATAAATGAAAATCGAAAAACATGGTCTAAGGCTATGGAGACATGTTTTATGGAAGGCGGGATGCTCGTAGTTATTGAGAGCACAATGGAATCGCTGATACTTCACGATCTGATAAATGACAATACAAAACATAATGATGAAATTGAAAAATATCATGCGGGTTTCAAAAAATTTTATCCCCTCGAAGACTTTTACACTATTAAAGGTAAGGGCCATGGAGGTTGTAATATTTTACTTAAAATCTGAAAAAAAATTAAGATTATTTAAGGCAATCAGATTTTTTTAAATCAGTTTTATTTAAGACACATAATAACTTTTCAAATTATCGCAAAAGTCACACTAGCCAAGTGGGAAAAGCTTCGTAGTGAATTCATTCATGCGCTACATTAACGTCACTTTGTAGAAAATTAATTTGACACTTAACAATAATCAAGGACTCAACGTTGCGGCCTGCGCTCAGAACTGAACTTCATCCATTAAACATTTTAATTCACCATAACGCACCAATAAAAGCACCTTGGATAAGTCCTCAGGAGTATTTATGAGAACTATTTTATCTTCTTCGTAATTAATACTTAGTCACTGCATATTTATTATTATTTGAGTTTTGGGCCTATACAGCAGAGATGTTGCGAATGCAAATTTCCTCGATGATGCGGATGCGGAATTTAAGAGGCTCACATCCGCGGATGCGGATCTATACAAAAAACTTAAGTGTAGTGGGGTAAAAAAAGACAGCAATATTTATCCTTTCTTTATTAAAATAATAAAGTAGTGTGTGAATCACTATTACTCATTCATTATTTTTTGTTTTCTGTAGCTGCTTTTCGTTATTCGCGTTTTCAAACAAAGTAAACTCTTCGTTGCGCATTGATTTTAGATGATTTTTAAGCGACGATGTAGTTCGACCCTTTTGAGAATATGTTTTATTACATATATTTTACACTGAGATATATCCCGGTCATTTTCAACGGGATTGAAATAGGTCCAAATTTCACTTTGCGTGGGTGGTGGCATTTTTAACAAAAAGCACAATAAAGATGTAATAAACTTGCGATTGAATATTTACGACAAAACAACAAACGTGCGCGTCAAATTTTGTCACAACACAAACAATAGCGAGGCGCGTCACCGTTTAACAAAATTAGGTGTCACGCGCCACTCGTCGGGCCTGCCCCTTTCTTTCTTGTCGCGACCTGCTACACATAAGCATCCGCAGCAGCTCCGCATCGATTTTTTCAGATGCGGATGTCTAAATCGATGCGGATGTTCCGCATATACGGATGCATATGCGAATATTCGCAACATCCCTTCTATACAGTTCTAAAATTTAGCTAGCTAGATCTTAAAATGCCCTAAAAATATAAAATTCTAAAATTTAAAGATTTGATTTCCTCTGCATTTATTATTGATACCAATTCATATGGCGCAAGTGGTTAGCGCGTTCGGCTGCGATCGTTGAAACTAAGCAACATTCGCAGTGGTCGGTTATTGGATTGGTGACCAAAAATTTACTATCTCGAGCTCCGCACGTTAAGCAGTTGGTCCCGGTTGCATCTGCGCTCGTTAGCACCCACCAATCCGCATTGGGCCCGTGTGGTGGGTCATGGTCCAATATCCTATTCTATCCATAGGGAAGGCCTGTGCCCTAGCAGTGTGGACATTAATAGGCTGATGATGATCCCAAATGAATACCTACTTACTCCTTACTGATAGTGATTTCACGTTTAATTACCCAGTAGTTTTTCGATTCGGTTAGGAGATCGTCCTTGAGGTTGTCTACTATATGAATATATAATAATATACACATTATAATACGCGATTATTCTGAAATGAAAGAAACCGCTGTCTGAATTTGTATGAAATGTGAAATATGGAATGATACACCTTTCTAGTTTATTTCTCACTCTCGTCTCATCTCGCAGGACATAAACTTCAAGACAGCGGATACAACGATTGGTATCCAGGCAACAATGACAATGAACGTTGTGGTGCTGTTTTAAAATTAAACAGCAAGTTATACCTAGATATGAACGAGTGTGACACGTTATTGTATCCTTTTGTTTGTGAAATTGGTGTTATTGCCTAACACATTAATTGTGACAATAACTGGTTGAAGAGAGAAAAAATAATGTAAGTTATATTTTTTATTGTAAAGTACTTACCTAAGTCTATTTTAATACAAGCATAACTCAAAATTTACTTTGTTTTATTTGCAGTACCTTTATCATTTTAAGATTTAGTAATTAGGTACAACTTAACTCTACTATATTTAAAATTTATTCAAATAAAAGAATCAATTCAAAATTCTATACCTACAGGTATTTCCTCTATAGTTTTAAACAGTACCGATACCTTATTTAAACTTGAACAAAATTAGGCTGCATAACACTAATGTTGTAAAGGCAAAAGTTTGTGAGTGTGTATGTTTATTACTTCTTCACGTCTGGAGAGATTTTAATAAAATTTGGTATGGAGTTAGCTGACACCCTGGACACATAGGCTACGGCGTTTTACTGCGGGAAATTATCTTATTCCCATGGGAAAATCGATGAAAATGAATTTTCCCTAATAAATCGCGGGTAATACTGCGGGGCTCAGCTAGTTATCTATATTTGTTTTGATTTTAAAGTAGCTGGAGCACTTGTGTGTTCTGTTAAAGTAATTGCTGGTAACCAATAAGGTCGCGTATGTAGGTATTCATGTTTTGTTTCTTTCGTTACATGTGTAGATTTTCTGTAAAAAAAACACACTGTGTCGTCTATTTGGACGCCCGAAAGAAGCGTAGCTGGGTAAATGTAAAAACACGTAGCTGAAAGGTGGTAAAAATTATGCTCACTTACGTTAAATTAGGAAGGCTGGTTTTTAACTTAGGTTAGAAATGATATGTTTAAAACACCAGCCTACCTATTTAGACGTAAGTTAGATTTTTTTTCACAAAAACACGTAAAAATAACACAACACAATACAACAAACACAACTAACGGTTGATATAAGATACGTGCAGGAACCTATAGGTGGCAGCACTAAATCGTCAAAAGAGACACTATGCGGACAGTAAAGAAAACTGTTATCGAGCTTTCAATTAGGTTACCTAAATTATCTCTTAAGTTCTGAATTATTATATTTTTGAATATGAAAAAAGTTTTACAATAGGGGTTCCGGTCTATCAATACATGCTCTATACTTCGACATTTTATTAGCTGCAGTAAAATGACGTTTCAAAATGTCATTCCGTAAAATAATGTTAACCGTCTAATTATAATAGGGATGTGATTAGGTTCACAGAAAATCTAATCGTTTCATAACTAACTCAGAATGTTCATACTTAATTGTATTTATTATTCATATAAATAAAAGACTGTCATTAGTGTGACCGAAAGCGAAAGCTATAGTGATTCCGAAAATGATTGAAAAATAATAATAGTATTTAAATAATATTTTTATGATATTTTTGTTTCATTTTGGATATACGTCCCTATACTTCCACTGAAAAAGATCAATCCTATACTATAGTAATAATAATAGAATAAAAAAATACACTACAACTTAATAATAAATCTCTAAAACAAAACCAAACTGATCATTCATTTGTTGAATGATCCACTTACTCACTTAGCTACATCCCTATTTATTTTTCTTCAAAAAGCGGTAACCCACAAAACGTCATTTTACTGCAGCTAATAAAAAGTTCCACTTTAAGATCAATACTGATCATCAGCGTGGCCAACATATTATTATGTCAAAAGGTCAAAGCTCTTCTTTGCCGGCAAAGTTTAACTGTGTGAAGAGATAATAAATGAAGAAAAACAGTCTGTGGTATCTTACCTTCACCAGGGAAAATTGTAGTAACGTACGTATGACAGATGTCAAGGACTTTCACATTTTTTGCTGCCAATGAACTGAGCAATCCACGCCTAATATAATTGTATTTCTAGGTGAAAGCCAATGATATTTTATAACTTTAGATATGTTACATCCATATTAATTGCGTATAAAATCTGATGCGAGTTCTAATTAAACTTCAAAATATCAATGTTTTTTGTTGTACATAAAGTTTCATTTATAAGTCGTAGAGTGGACACTTGATTTAAAAGTAAGTCTTCATAGGTAAGAAATAAAACATCTTATAAATGTAAATCACATTTGCTGAATATTTAATAATGTTTTTTTTTATGTAGTGTTTGTCCTTATTTCGAATTATATTTGTTAGTTTTGAAGTGATCGCTACAGATTCAGCTCCTTTTTGATATCATCTCATGTCGTGTCTGATTCGTTTCTTTTCTGACTTGATCACTAGAAACCCTAATGCATCCCTGAGACGATCAAATCGACTTGTCAAGACTACGTGATGAAGAGAATATTGATTGTTTACAGCTTATACTTGACCTTCCGTTAAGTGTACTACAGGCTTGATCACGATTGACAATAATTTTGATTGACGGCGCTTGATGCGCTTGCGTTTGATGCGCTTGCGCTTGACACGGCCTGATGAGTATTGACTAGTTTTTCTCATTTGCGGCCGCAACATTGAAGACAAACGTGGTAAATGGTGAAAAGCTGCGACATTATTACCGACTGTGATTTTGTTCTACATTCATTATATATGGCCTAGCCTGTACTATAGAAAATTGAAAATGAGGAGTCCGCGGCTCCTCCTCACTCCGCTGGATGGCTCATTTGGAGTCATATGGGGGCGAGATATAAACATGATAATAATGCTGACAAAATGTACTAGATGGCGCTAACCCGCAACGGTAAAGTTAAAATCTATCGTTTTGCATGGATAGTGCCCGCGTGGCGAGCGGTGACGCGGCATGCGCGGCCCGAACGGGTATAGAAGCTTCGCTTCAAATTCAGAAATAGTTTTAATTATTGTGTTATGGAAATCTGAAATAAGTAAGACACCACAAATACACATACCCGAATCAATACAGAATAGTAGGTAACTTATTAAATCGACCAGACAGGGAATCTAACCCGTAGCGGATCAAAGATGTCAACCGTACCATGTTTAGTAGTTTCGTAGTTTTGGACTCCGCCTAACCAGGGAAGCGTACAGGTGCTTTACAGCTTGGGTATATTATCCGATGGAGCTACGTGGAGTGGGCAGGACACTTGCTGTGACACTGACTAGAGCAGTGCTGAGTTGCATTCGGTAAGCCTTGGATGTTCAACTTTTGCAAAGTAACTTGAAAGGTAAATGTAGTCTTTTCACTTTTTTACAAAAACTGTATTTTTATTTTTAAGCATTTAACTGCTAGATAGAAAATCCACGCGGAGCAGGTCTTGTCTTCGGCACCTTGCCGGCCAGTCCCGTGTGCTGCCTGGTCCTAGTGAGTCAACCCTTTAGCTTAGCTCCCATAGCTGACACAGTTTTTCATATTTGTGTGCAGATTGCAAACTGTGCACTAAGCTATGTGAGCTAACTAAAATATGTGAAGCTAAATTAATCGAGTATGCCGATTGCCGATCCGCTGCTAAACTAAGCCCCTCCCGCTCTACCCCGCACCACAACTGAGTGCAACAACATGAATTTTGCCGTAATGACACAACTTATTTTGGAGCTATTAAATAAGGAAGCGAGTTTTGCTTGTACACGAACACGAACATGAGACGTATACCTCTGCTCACTGCTTAACAGTATCCACTAGAGATGACTAGACTATCTAAGAGACTAATCGGAGAGAGATGGGTATAATATAAGGTATAATAATGTAATCCTATGGGTTGTTTATATAAACCTCTTGTCTCCGTTTTGTCTTGATGGAGTCCTGATATAAAACGACTTGCAGGCGGCTCCTTCAAGAAATTCGTCAGGTTATTGTCAGTACCCTAATTTAGTATTTTAAAGTGCGCCTCGCACGCGAAAGGTTCCGTATCACAATTTAAAGATGATTTCAATGCATGCGAGAAATTAACGAGCCAATCCAGCTGCAGCACTTCTAGCCAGTCATCAGCTTCGCTTCGATTTCGATTATACACGGTCCTGCAAAACTAAGTATCACATTTCTGAAATTTCAATATTTTGTAAACTACAAAAGTTAGAGATTTTAAATAAAAAATATTTTTTAACTATCAGCTTTCTTTGAAATTGTAGTACAAAATGAAACTCTTTTTGAGTCGTTTTTATCTTGTGTACCTCAAATGTTATTCAAGTTTTAAAAGTGTGATACTTAATTTTGCAGGCCAGTATATTATATTAATATACTCTTACTTGCTCAACCGGCGAACTTCATACCGCCATTTTTTGTTTCGATTTTTTTAAAATATTTTCTTATACACCATATCCTGACAACAACGAACAAAATAAAAACCTTGTTGACTTCTTTTAAGTACTGAACCGTACCAATCGTACCACATTAAGGCATCAATATAAAAACCAATTTCGTTAGAACCTATTACGCATCGTCCCGTTCGGAAAAGCTATATTGAGGCCTATATTAATAAAAATAAATAAATCTCGCGGCATATCCGTTTCATGCCAAAACATTTTATTTAGTGATGCCATTTCGCACCGTTCTGGATATATTTTACGACATTCACTCAAATCCCTAATGTTATTCGATGGTTTTCAATTTCCCCTACGATATAGGCTTTGCGTGTTTTGCTCGTTTATTGTGCGAATAAATATTTGGAATAAGCAACATACAATCGATCGATAGAATATTATAGGTACTTAGATCAAGTGTCTATTGATCAAGTACATTTTTGCAATAAAATTAATTTGCAATATTAAAATTTAGTCTTGCATTTACAGCAACGATTGGCTTTTAAGTTTTATGTGTATTTATGATTTTATAGTACCTCTATATATTGTAAAAGTATAAACATTTGTAGTAGGTAGGCACTTATTACATTATTATAATATCAAAAGTGTATCTATAGTTTAAGGATCAAATAGTTTTGCAAAAAAATTTCTTAATATTTACTTAATCCAGTCTTCAAAATTGTCATAAACGCCTCGATCTGTTGATCGAAGCATAAGCGTAGTAATTATGTGTTCTGTATGTCTAATGCCCCTTATTAATAAACGAGGATTATGCTTAGACTAGTTACGCCGTGTGTTATTCATATCACTCAAGTACCATTTGTGATTCAATGAACAGAGACAAAACATAGAGCAACTAATCTAAACATAGTCTTTGTTTATTAATAAGAGGGATATTACTAATATTATAAAGAGGTAAAGTTTGTGAGGT